ATCAGTATTGCTTCGTTCAGTTGTGTTGCTAAATGGCACTCTAAATCGAATGACATATTATCATATATGTCAACTTTTTGACATTTTTCGCACATGGTTTATTTAAAATTGGCGACATGCGGTTCATAAGACAATTTGACTCCGAAATACCAAGTCGTGGTATCAAATTATTCGTAAAAAATGCTTTCCAAATATGCTAATGAGCCACCTCGTTCCATTTGAAAAAAATTGAGATATGATTAAAAAATACGATTAGGGCATTTTTAACCGGCCAGGACAAGACACTAAAACATTAGAATGATTAAATCTATTTTTCCAAAACTCCTTGGCTAAAAATTAGTGTTTTGACACAGCCATATAACTCTAGATTGAAATTTAAACTATAGTTTATTTTTGAGTGACTATATCAAAAGTTGACATAGGATATGTCTTTAGATTCCACTTGTGTCATTTCTATCGAATAAAGTAAAAAAAAATATCGAGGTGTCATTTAAAATCAAAAGTTGTAGTCATTTCCAGTGAAAGTGACCGAAAATAAATGAATACGTCAATCGATCCCAATTTATGTCATATGCCAACATACCAATCTCGTTGTTTTGATGAAAAAATAAAAAGTTATAGGGTGAGCCACTTTGGATCTTTTTCAAGGACCAACTACAATATAACGATAATATTTTTTAATTATATTTCTTTATAATAAAAATGAAAAGCCAAATATGCATTGAACGTAGATACTTATATTTTGTCATTCACACACATATTTCCAAACATTTAATTACATTAATTGACCTTAACAAATAGACAACTCTTATTGACAACTCTTAATCTCTGATACCATGGTAACGGGTTTCGGGAAAAATTCGGTGGCTTTAATTTTCTTTTAAATAAATCACATTTTTTTTAATTTTCTTTCTTGAACTTGAGAAAAAATCTCTAATCGAGATCTACCAGCCCTGAAAATATTTGCACTTATTTAAGACTAACTCTGCATATTATAGTAGGAGAGCTCAAGATGATAAATGTGGATTTACTTGAGCGTTTTGGAGACCTATTGGATTGTGAAAATACATGCTAAAAAGAAAAAAAGGGTTATATGATGTATGCTTTTTTACTGGTGGGGGGAGCGTGTACAAGGTTTCAAAAAAAAACTTTGAGACCACAGACCACACAAAACAAATTTGTTGGTTAACAGCAGTTAGTAGTAGTCAGAGATATAGATGTAGTCTAACGTCACAAATTCTGCTGCAGCCCGTATATGGGCGTTACACATGTCCTTAATTCTTTAGTCATTGGATTTACCAATGGCATCGCCACAAGATTCATGTATTGTGGGAGTACTTAACAGGGTGCAAGGTTTCTCCCCTTCTATTATTCCGCGGCGCTTGAGTAAATCCCAAAATCACCGCTTAGGCTTCCCTACTAATATGAATCCGGAGTTTAACCATAGTTTTTTTTGTACAAATAATTACTCTTCATACATATTTATGACAATATTAAAATTTCAAATTTACACTTTTGCAATCTCTGACGTCAACTATCAAACGTGTCACGGTTGGCCATCAGGTACAAAGGTAAATAAAAACCATTTTCTAAATGTATTTTAAAGTAGATATAAAATTAATTATTGTAAAAATAAAACTTAAGGAACTTTTTACGATAAAAATGATCTTCACAGCAGAATTCTCGTACTTTTGCTGACATATGTTGTCTTGCCACTTCAAACCAGGCTCTTCGACGGCTTTCATCCAAAGGAACAGTTTAAAAACTTTTTCTGGAGAGCCTTCAGAGTTATTTAGACATCCCTTCATAAAACAAACTTTAACACCCTTCATTACAAAAATAATAAAGAGGGAACAATAAAACAAAATCGAAAACTCAAAGTATTTAACTCCAAACGCAAAATCCACAAAATGCAAATCTAACCTCGAACCCTCGAACGCCTCGAATATCCGAACAACTTTGGTAATGTTTAGTGCTTCGATAAAAATGGCAGTAACTTATTAATTATAAAAATTTAAGTTTTAATTTCTAGTATTAAATATAAAAAGTAAATTTAATATTGGGGTAATAAAGAATAATCCCATATAAAAACGTATTTTAACGATCTTAATAAAAATAGAAAAATCTAACATGATTTTAAGATATATGGTGTAAATACGGTAGCAGAGAACTAGACACGCCACAATATTATTCTTCAGAGGCTCGCGCCCTCTGTCAACTATTCAGTCAAATGCTGATATGTGACGTCACAATTTTCTACGCGTTATTTCAAACCTGTGAAATTTGTATTATTAAATTTAATATTATTCTTTAATTGTAACTACATTGCATTTCTTTCTGTATTGAGGGAGTACATTTTAATCACTTCAATTGAATTTTATATTAAAATAACAAAATTAACTATGGTTAAACACCGGATTGACGGATTTTTAAGATAACGGTGATTAAAGTAATATTTTATTTTTTCGGAGCTGTGGGCGAACCCCCGTTATTTTTAGCTTCATCCATACTTTTCGCGATTAAAAAAGCGATTATATCGGCCAGAATGGATAACAATGCAAAGGGTTTCTTTGAATTGGACGCGCCCGCAACATCTGCCAAAATACGAATGGCTTGTACAGATAACATAACGGCTAAGGTATTGCGTTCTTTCGTGTTTCTCCTAATTTAAATAAATGGCATTTTTTCTGGGAAAAATGAATAATTTTTGTTTTCTTTATTGTAGCTCGAAGATCCCGAACCTGGAACGTTCAAGCCTTGGAATGTAATCGTGTAAAAATAACAGAAAAAATATATAAACAGTATTTTTATTTTATTTAAGTTGGTTTATATCTGGAGAATAAATAGTATCTATAAAGGAAAGTAACCAAATATGGAATAACATTTAGTTTTTGTTGTTATACTGTATGTCCCAGGATTCTTTACAAGAGGAAAAACTTTTTATCATTGACATTTTGAGAAAAATATATTCATAAAAATTTTGCGTGTTCTAAAATGGTTAATCCGTTTATACTTTCCAAATATCCATACCGTTTTAGAAAATTAAAAAAAACATATGAAAATATGTTTCAATTTTTTCTAAGGTATCTATTATATTTTGTTATTAATTATGATTAACGTCATATTTTTTGCTCTTGTTAAAGTATCATTTTCCGATAACTACTACCACCCTTTCCTTAGCATTGAACTAAGTAAATTTTGAGCTTCTTTAACATTTTAAAATAAAAAATATGACGATGACGTTAATTAAAATTCTCTCAACAATAATCTATCAAAGAATAAAACGAAATTACATTACCATAAAAACGCGTTCAACAAAAAAAAATTCAACTATATTTTCATGTTTTCTTTTTCTAATTTCGTTTTTAATTTTTTTCTCTAGCATTGTCTAATGTCGCTTAACTAAGGTGATATCGGTTGCCGAAGGATAAATAGCAGAGTATTTAATTCTTTTAGTTTTTTTTTTTTTTTTATTTGTAGGTATTTTTTGTATTATTATTTATATTTTATTAATTCAAAATTTAATTCTTATTTAATAAGAATTTCGTATTTTATGATATTATATTTTGATTGATCTAGGTAGTTTTAATCAGGTTTTTGAAGTCTTCTATGTTAAACTCCTTTGATATACGCATTAGATAGCTTGGCAACTGAAAATAAATTTAAAAGAAATGTTCTTATGAACTAAAAATACCAGAAAATTAATATTTTACCTTTCAATTGAGATTCTGAAGTAATTTCTCCTCGTCCTATATATTTTGCAATTAGGTCATTCTCCAACAGAAAATACATCTTGTGCCTTAAAATTAACGTTTCCAGCAATTTCATTTCTCGATACCCAATCTGCCTTTTGCATTTTTGGCTTCTTTTTCACTCAATATGAAAACTTTGACAAAAAGATCCGTTATTTCTTTTTCAATTTCAATTGCAGAATCACAATTTAAATCAATCTAAAATAATTAAGAATACTCGTATATTTATTCAATTAGCAATGCTCTCTACACTCACCGGCACGAAAAAACGGGCACCTTAAAATTTTTATGAATTTTAAAGTTTAATATATTTTATTATAGCGGACCGATTTTTAATGATTTTTAAGCAATTTGTAGCTAAATTATTGACATTTTGGTGTCTCTCTCTAAATTAAAATGAAAGTTTCCATCTGTCAATTATACGAGGAAAGAAAACAAAATGTTGATTTTTGGTGAAAGTTTGAAACACCCTGTGGAATATCTTAACAAGGCAAGGAATTTAAAAAATAATTTTGTCATCTAGGTACGTTTTTTCTCAATAGTTTGTTTTTGATTCATCTCGATAGCTATTTTTATTGGAGATATTCGCTTTTGAATAAGACAGTAACGATTTGCAACAATTTTGGCATTGATTTTTTGTCCTCATCAGCACACTAAAATAGTGTATATCATAGGTGTATATTATTTATGTAATGTCGCATACATTAAAACTCATATTATTATAGTTAATTGGCGTTAACTCTAGTAGAGGTCGTTTTAAGTTCTGAAGTATAGGCTGTTGCTGGTTTGAATTGATAATGGTAGATATCAACTTTTGAACTTAAAAGGCCACATCTGCTAAAAGAAACTGCTTAACAGACAATAATAATAAAATTTTTCAAAAAGACAGTGACATTACATAAATCATAAACCCTATTTTATAGGTCTGTTGACTATGACCAAAAGCAAAAGGCATAGTTTTTTAATGTAAAAATATGAAAAAAATGTTAGTGTCTTCTTCAAAAGTGAATATCTCCTAAAAAAAAAATAAAAGCTATTGAATGAATCAAAAATAAACTATCGAGAAAAGATACAAGTAGATGATAAAATTATTTTTAAATGCTGATTTGTTAACGTACTCCACAGGATGTTTCAAACTTTTACCATAATATCAACATTTTGTTTTCCCTCGTATAATTGACAGATGGCAAGTTTATTTTAATTTAGAAGGGAGATACTAAAAAGCAAACAATTTAACTACACATTGCTTAAAAATCATCAAAATCGGTCAACTAGAACATAATATATTCTGTATTACCACAGGGAATTATAAAGTGTTAATAACCTCAGGCAATTATTGTCCCTGCTTTGCATGTCAAGTTCAAATACCTTTCTTAAAAAGTATTTGGACAAGTTCATACCTGCAATCACAGGAAGTGAAATATCTCGGAATAACCCTGGATAGTAAACTTTTCTGGAACAGGCATATTAAGAACATTACCAGCAAAGCCACAAAAGCTCTCATGATATGAAGAAGACTGGCGGGAAATATAGGTGGGGCTGCCCCTAACATTTGCGCTGGATGTATACCGTGATAGTAAGGCCCATGATTACCTATGGAGCAGTTGCTTGTTATACAAAACTAGAGCAACATATAGCAAGGCAAAACCTGTGAAAAGTACAGAGACTGGCATGTATCTGCATCACAGGTGACATGAGAACATGTCCGACAGCAGCAATGGAGGTCATTCTAGACCTAACACCACTGCACATTGTCGTCAGCAGTTATGCCAATGCGACAATAACATGATTAGAATGGTCATTGATGGAAACAGTACTGGGATAATTTTCAGGTCAGGGGCTTGGAACACCCTCAAAAAGAAAATTCCACTTCTCAACTCCCAGTGGATGACATACCCAGAATTTACAACTTTGAGAAACACCTCACTGTAGTATTGGTAATAAAAGGATTGGAAGGAAGAAATGCTTACTCAGCATATAAAGACCATACCATCACGTGGTATACTGATGCTTCCAAAACCAAAACAGGGACAGGGATTGGAGTATTTGGACCGAAAACTAAATGCTCGAACCAATGGACACCTACCCCAGTATCCTTCAGGCAGAAATTTGCGCTATCGAAGATGCGTACAATTTATCTTAGATAGGAACTATCGAAAACGAGGAAATTGCCATCTATCCGATAGTCAAGCAGCACTTAACGCGATCAACTCAATAACCATCCAATTCGAAGTTGGTCAAAGAATGCCTGAAAGCTCAACAAATTAGGCAAAGAAAATAAAGTCCTCTACTCTGGGTGCCTGCTCACCAAAAGGGATAGAAGGCAATGAGAAAAAGCAAATGATCTAGCTAGGAAAGGAGCAGACACTCCACTAACTGGATGGATTAGAACCGTTCTGTTTCCAAACGGGAACCAACTGAAAGCTTTGAACTGAAGAATCTGGAAGACTCCATCCGTAACTGGAATGGGTGTCCTCCTAAGACACTCGAAAAATGCAGAACTTATGACCGGGAGAAAAATCAAAGGTTTTCCTTGATTTAAGTAAAAACAATCTTCGGATTGTCACGGGGTTCTAACAGGACACTGTCTCTCACCAACGAACACCTCAGTAGGCTGAAACTGAGAAACAGACACAGCGAATGCAGAATTTGTGGGGAAAATGGGGAAACACCATTCAGAACACCTTATCACTGAGTGCACCGAGACGACGACCATTCGTGGCATGAACCTTGGTACGTCTGATGTTGAGGATGGAGAGCTGGCCTTTGTGGAGCCGTCTCAGATACTGGCTTTCGTTAAAGCCCTGAGACTGTATGATGAGTTATAACTCACTATAACTCCAGAAAGAGAACATACAATAGATCTATAAGGTCGCGGTGATTAACTCCCTCCTAAACATTCTACAGTCTACATTCTACATACCTGCAAAAGGTCGAAATGTCCGGAACACAACCTTTCAAGCAACATCAAAAGGCCGCAAATTTTAATTCCATCATCGATATTTCCGTTCGATTTCACCGCCGCTGCCAACATTGCAAAATCTTTTTTGGCGCCTAACGCTAATTTTTCCACCATTTCTTTAACTCTCATTTCATCTAGCGTCTGAAAAAAGAGAAAACATTTTACTTATTTTTCTACATTTTCATTTAGACTGTAATCAGAGTTCATATTGATAACAAATTGCGTAAAATATACAGGGTGTTCCGATTTAAATTAAACAAATTATTGCCGTTTAAAGCTAGTAATTATATATGACCAATTTTTAGACGCTCTGTATAAGGTATTAATATTTTTATTATTGCAGCATAAAATTTAGTGAATAGAAAAACTTCAGTACAATATTTTGGTTTTAAAAACTTATAGCGTGAACAGCCTGTATATCTCTGGAAAAATTCAAATTCGCAATTTGCAATAGCTATAAACTCCCAACTTTATTTATAAATACCATCAATATTTTGGACTCCATACAACTTTCGTTTGATTTTCTCGTAAAAAAACTCTTAAATTTCTCACTTCTTGCCTTTTTAATTGTTGTGCGTTTTTGAGAGATGACAGCAGGTACAAGGACTGTTTCCAGAAATTCCCCATTCTTCAAAAACGATTGACACAAAGCAAATTCTTTGTCATACGCCTGCATTATCATGTTTATAAATTTTTGTTCAGCTTTCTGGTGAATCTTACCACAAACATCACTTTCTAAATACATGAAAACATCTAAATTCAAAGCTTGGTTATTGAAAACTAGTTTACAATTGTTCTCTAAAACAAAATTGTTCTTGTCAAATTGAACCAACAGGAAATCATCTTCGTTTTCTGATGATGCCAAGAAATAGTCATTCGCCAACATAATGATATTTAAAAAGAAAACTCTGAAAAACCTCCTCATTGTTGTTCACTTTAGTCTCGCTATTTTCCCTAACTTTTTTTGCGTAACTTTGACAATCCTCAGACATTTTTCTGTAGCAATCACTCTGCAGATCCGTAACAACATTCAATTCCGAACTCTTCTTCGATTTCAACATCGTAATGATCTTGCATTTCTTGAAAAAACTGCTGCAAGAATTCTGTTTCGACTTGATACTAGAATACCCGCTTTCGGTGGTACTTTTCGACATATAAAAACATGAATTCTCCACGTTGTACTGGTTCATATCCATGTCGAAGTTGTGCTCGACTTTTGTAAAACTTTGAAGAAATTTCTCACTGGTTTCACTTTTGTTGGAGTCCGAAGAATGTTCGTAGAGATAATCAAACGATGTGCTGTTGTCAAATAACATAGGACAACTGATTGGTTGGATTAAACAATTATTCTGTTCAGAAATACCGAAACTCTGGCACGAAAGCGATCGGTTACAACCAAAATTACCTGGAAAAACCTCCCCAAACTTTCCACCAGAACATATTCCAGGCTTCTCTTCCTTATTGGTCTTTTCCAATCCGCTCGATGTACAATAATTGGACATCGAACTGTGTAAAAGATCCAAAAAGCTCATAAACTCATGACATCCGTTACAGTTTTGTGTAAAAGAGCTACAAAAGCACTTGTTTCCATTGAGAACAGCCTGAAGCTCATTAGTCTTGTTTAGTTTTAATAACTTCTTGCATAACTCCACTAAAGCTTCTTGCTCCTTAAGTTCCTTATTGAAATAAATCTTAGTTACAGAGGATTCTTCATCTTTTACAGCTTCTACAGCCTCTTTGCTTTGCTCAACATCTTCTTCGCGATTATTATCACCTCTATCAAGCTTGTCACTCTTTTTTACAACACAGTTATCTTTTTTATGGAAAATAGGCGATATCGGACGTTTTCGTTCCTTCAAAAGGTTGTCTTGGTTGATCATTGAAAGGAAACGAACTTCAAAAACTTGAGGGGTCATTTCCATGCGTGATAATTTAAATTTTCTCTTCATTCTTTTCCTGATGGACTGGTCATACAGTTTTCTTCTCTGATACGAGCTGATCTCTCCAGTTTTGTAATCTTTTGTCAAGAATAATCTACCAGTAAGTTTATTTTCTATATCATTTTCGAGTCCTTGAGAACGATTTACTGTAGGTTTGTTAGTGAATTTTTCGATGTTATTACTGATAAAACTTCCACATGTATCGTGGAATTCCTTTAACCCTCTTTTAGTACCGCAAGTGGTTTTTGACCTAGTGCTTTCTTCTCTTTTTTTGATGATGTCGTTCAAAGACTGGCTTCGTTTAACGTTTTCTAAAGTATCACTCAGGGAAGAAGAAGTGGAACTAACATTAACTTCTTTCAGTTCTCCTTTCTTTTGCTTCCATATCACCGGAAGCACGGCTAGAGGTTTTGTGATAGCACCAAACCGAGAGACAATACCTTCTTTTTTGTTTGGGGTCTTTGGTGTTCTTGGTGAATGAGGAAAGCAAGCATTCAGGCAGGTATCTGTAGGTACGTTATGATCTTTCATTACTTTATCTTTAGTTTTTCGAGTCAATCGATCTTTTAGAGGAGTTTTTGCTTTACGTAGTTTATTTTTTAATATTTGATCCATATTATCGTTGTTATTAACAAAGATCTCGTGCTTTTCTACAGTTAAAACTGTTTGGGGACACGTCAGTTCAAAGTTGTTATTGAGTGTTCGTGGAGGAGACTTTTTATTTGAACTCCTTTCTCTCGATTTTTGTTGAGTTTGTTTTCTCACCGGAGATCTTGGCGTGCAAACTTTTAGTTTTGGTGCCTCTACTTGATAGGCCTAAATAAAACAATAAAAATAATTACTTAAAATATTTCTACAAAAATTAATAAAGTTGGCGTGCAGTCGTCATCAAAATATTTGGCAAATGCACATCGCACTCTTGCTACGGCTACTTTTTTTACTTCAACTTTTCACGAATTTAAATGTCAAATAAAATTAGTAATTTTCTCAGCGATTTCTCACCTCAATTTTAGACACAATACTCTTACACATAGAAATATTTTTTACCAAACATTATTATTATTATATAAACAGAATTTTAATTAAATGATGTTTAATATTAGTATTTTTAATAAAACAACTTTTAAATGTGTCAAATTTAATGAGAGTAACTTTATCTCTACATTTGTTTCCGCTTGTTAAGCCTTTTTCAAGAGTTTTTTTAAACTAACCGTCTGACTAGGTTGCAATGATATATTTGCTATGGTTGTGGGTTTAGGGGAGTTTACAATACTCTACTATATTCTTTTTTACAATAATAGGAGTAATAAAAATGTGTTTAGAAATCCTTGTTGGTCGTTTATATTTTCGTTTAATGAATTTTAATATTTCTAACTGTTCAATGTAATTTAAGCGTCTACCTTTTGTTTCCCTGTGTAATAACTTAATTGAGATGTCAGTAATAAAAGAGCGCTCTAATTCAGACAGATTATGTTTATTAGAAATTCAGTTTGGTAACACTGTAGATGTCTGTGAACGCTAAATTTTATTGATTTTCTATAGATTATATCTACCATATACTTACTTCTTTCATCTCTGTTTGATCAGTAATATAAATAGGCGATATTGCCACACTCTTTAGCTGTTTAACCCTCTTCTGTGGTCGAATCAATGGAATCGACGTTTTTAATTTTGCTTCTACAGCCACTTCTTTAGTGACTGTATTTTTTGTAATCCTACTCCTAGACCCAACAGCTACATCAATTTTTTCTGCTGCCCATCTTTCACAGGGATCTTTATTTTTCTTTGAGTCAGTGACCTCTTGGGTAACATTGCTTTTAGAGGAAGAACCAAAGACATCATAAACTTCTTTTGGATCATTTGTTTTAAAATCTGGATATTTAATATCTGCATGGTATATTTCTTCTAACTCTTCTAATTTTTCGTCAGTAAGAGATACTTCAGTCAATTTTATATCAGAAACTTGACATTCCTTGTTATATTTACAACTTTTTTCGATACGTTTTAAGGAATCTAAAACGGTTTTGAAAAAGAAATAAAGTGTTTTCTCATGAGATATTGTTAGTAAAACATCAGATTTTGATTTGATTGTACTAATTTTAGAATCTTTTGCTATTGATTCATATTTTACATGATTATATCGATGACATTGCTCAGAATTGGCCTTTTTTCGTAAATCAAAGCAGTATTCTGAATGACTGCTGGCCAAAGGTTTAAAATAGCATTCATGTAGCTTCGTGCATATCGTAGTATTCTTCGTAAAGACTTCTTGTTCCACTTCTTCCTCTAGAGGAATAGTGACATCCTTGTTACTGTCACTCAGTAAGTTGTGACATTCTTCCTTCAAAGTTTGTACGTTTGAATATTTATAATACATCTTAAACCTTCTAGAAATCTTCCTTTTTCAACCAGTATCTTTAAGAGATTTGCCTGTCTCTACAGCCACAGAAGGTTTAAAAGTGTCTATAGGTGGTATTCCTACTATATGATGCGTTTTAGATACCATTTTCTTCATTATCTTTATTTTTTCTTGGGGGTTTTCTGAACTTAGAGGTTTCAGCTCTTGGATAGTAAGTTTTTCCGCAGTTTCTAGTTTTCTAGCTTCCTTATGAACCCTGTTGGATTCTTTGATTGAAAAATTATAGTATTCTCGACAACAAAATGGATAATTTTCGTATCTACACTTTGGATGATGACTTTGAGGATTTTCAAGCGACGATCTGTAACAAATATATATGATTTATCAAGGAAAAATCATTAAATATTATCATGTCATTATATGCTCTGTATAGAAACTCTACATACCTGTCTGTGTTCGTTGTTGATACCCTGTTTCGTCCTTTTCCACTAACAAACAAGTCAGTTTTCTGGTTCTCGTAGCTCGTCTTTGAAGGAAAACTCAAAGGTTTCTCAGAACATGTTGTACAGTCCAAAGGAGAAATATAATGCGTGTCAAATGAATAAATTGGAAGAAGTCGTTCGTTTTTAGTTGAAGCATTCGTGTGTGGACTCCTATGCAATCTTCTTTTTTCTGAAACAACCTCAACGTGAGTTTTTGGACTTTCTACCTCTTTTATCACTTCCTATTTTTCTTTTCTTCTGTTTCTAGCTGGGTTATATGTGAACGTTTCTTTTCTTCATGTCTAGACTTATGTTTTTCTTTCTTCTTTACGTAGTTTTTTTAGTACTTCATTCACAATTTCGTCTTTGTATTTTCGTTCCTTCTTTACATCAGCAGAATCACTTCTTTTGCTTTCTCTGGTTTTAGATTTTGGTGGTTCGTTTTCATCTAGTTTTGGGATGGATTTTTCGTTATCTTTTTTAGCAAACTGCATGAAACCATCCAGTTTTTTATCGAGAATATGCTGAAATTTGGCAAAATAGTTTTTCATATTGCTTTCGACAATTTTTCGTATTTCTTCTTCTTTCATGGTTGTGGATTGGTCTTGATGACATTTTTTGTCTTCTTTTTGTATATCTGCACTTGTCTTTCGTGCTTTTTTGTTTTCTGAATGTTTATTTTGGTCTTTAATTGCGTTGTCATTATTTTCCTCTGATTTACATCTAAAAGCAATAAAGATATATTTTAGAATACATTTTCAAGAAAAAAAAAGGCTGTCAACTGCATTCAATTCACAAAATTATAAATTTAAATTAAAATTAAGATCACGGTATACATATAGTAGTAGCATATACCAGGTGCGTCTAAAAAATGGCTCACCCCTTTAACTTTTTAATTTTTTTAGATAAAAGGGTACGGTATGTTAGTATAAGACATAAATTAGGATTAATTGACGTATTCAATTGTTTTCGGTTACTTCTGTTCACCGGAAATGACTACAACTTTTTTTTGATTTTTTAAATGGCACTCAGTACTGCTTTATTCGGTAGAAAATGAGACTCTAAATAGAATGCCATATCATATGCCAACTTTGACATTCTCGCTTAAAAATCGTATTTTAATTTCAATGGTTAGTGTAATGGCTGTGTTAAAAACACTAATTTTAATCAAGGATCCTTGGAAAAATACCTAGATTATTCCAGCTCTTCATTTCTACATCAAGCATATATACTACCTAAAACTAAAAAGAGTACCTTTTATGATTTCTTGTTGAACGTTCTTTATCCTCTCTAAAATCGCGACTAACACAACTTCTCTTCAATCCAAAATGTTTTGACTCTCTCCTACTTTCATTCTTTTCATTCTTCTTATTTTCTATCTGCTCCTTTATTTCTCTGCACAATTTATGATCTTTCTCATTTTTTAGTCTTTTATACAAGTCCTTCACTTCAGTTGAATTTTATCGTTCACATCACTAAAAGGCACTTGGTGGGTTTGACAGAAGATCACTTCTTGAACGGTATTGCAAGGTTTCTCATGTCTTCTTCTACTCGTATGTTTTTCAGACTTTTCTTTATTGTTTTTGAGGGGCGCGTTCTTCAGATTTTTTGCTTTTCTTTGTTAGTTCTTTTTCATCTAGTTTTCTCTGTGTTTTGTTTCTTTTTTTATAATGCTGTTTCCTTTTTCTCTTCTTTATGAGACTCTTCAAACGATTTTTCTCTTCTAAATAAATTTCTAGTCTTGTAATAAATTATTACTCTCATTCTCAACAGATCCCTGTGCCACAATCAAGTTTTTTTCTAACTTTTCACTATTTTTTTTTACTTTTTTCTTTCTTCTATGCTTGTCTTTAGCAACGTTTTTGACATTATCTTTTGCAAAATCACCACAAGCGTTCTGATCTACATGTATTTTCTCTACGGATGTCTCTTGTATGGGGTCTAGGACGTTTTTTGAGCGATGATGTTTTCGATGATGCTTTTTTGGTTTTGAATTGTGCTGCTTGGAAACATCCTTGTGTCGAGGTCGATGAGGCTTATGCGTTTTGGAGTTATGCATCTCATATTCTGATTATTCTTTACATCAGCTACCTCACGGCAGAACTAAAATTTCTCACAATACAAACAACAATAGCGTTCATTAGGTAAATTTTTTGACGTCTTATGACGTATATCTATTATGACGTATAAGTGACATTGAAAAATGCAACACTCACAACACCTATGGAGAGAAAGAATGGGAAAGCAACCGAGTAATGAACACTCAAGAGATAGCAGTCTACACAAATGCTTCCGTAACTTCAGGAGGCACAGGTATAGGCATCTTCTCAGAAGAACTAGACATCCGACGATCTTTGAGGCTATTGGATGGCTGTAATGTTCTACGAGCAGAGGTTTACGCTATAAAGGATACGTAAGGCCAGTTGTATACGAGAGATATTATATACGAGAAAAATTGCTGATAGACCAATAGGGGATATCTTGATATACTCTGACAACTTGAGCGCTTTAACAAGCATCACCATGCAATCAGTGAGATCGAAAACTGCGATTGACTGCTGAGAAACACTGTCCCGGCTGCGTCAGGGCGGGGCTATTCTGTGCTGGGTGTCGGGCCAAAGGCAATGTGGGTGTCAATCAAGAATCAGACAGACTCGTCAAAGAGGGGCCAGGGAGAGGTCGTGGCAGATGACCCATCACTTGTGACGATCAACACGCTGAAAGAAGCTATAGAAACTACCATCTAGGTCAAGCAGCAAGAGATGTAGCAACACCGTGAGGACTGCGCTACAGCTCGAAGACTGTGGCCAGTGGTAGATAGCAAAAAGACAAAACAACTACTAGAGCACAAAAAGAACCTAATAGGCATAATTGTAGATGTCATCAGTGGAAACTGCCCCACGCAAGGGCGTAGATAAGGGGGGGATACTGGGGGACAGTACCCCCCCCCCCCTGACGCTTGACGAGATACGAGAAATAGTCATTGACTATGAAAGGATTTTTTTTAATTAATATCCGACATATAAGAACACTTTGTATGCTTTATCGTTTATAATATGTTCGACCTAATTAAAAGCATGCAAAGTGTTCTTATTGGCCAGGACAGATTAATGGGGTTAACTCTAATCAATATCCATAAAGATAGTGAAATAAATGTTGATGCTGTTATTGACAGGTTTTCCAAACAGTGTACTAGAAAACTTGATTTTGTTTTGTAGTTTTATTTATAGTGTATAGTTTTTATAGTTTTTTTTGATAGTTTAGAGTTTTTTATTTATAGAAAATTAACTAATAAACGTCGTTGTTTCATTTTTGTTTATGTTATTTACAAATCTATATTTTAATTTTTGTGTTATGTTTTTATATATTTTGAAGACAAAAAATCGCCGTCGTTTTAATTCGACAAAAAATTCCGACGGTGATTTTTTTACGACTTAATCATAGTACCACCCCCATAGCGTACACCTATCTACGCCCCTGGCCCCACGGGGGTAAACCTCTAAGGTGGAAGGTTTCCAACGACGACTGCTGTAGAGAATGCGGAGAGGAAAAAGAAACCATAGGGCACCTGCTGTGCCACTGTCCGGCACTGGAATACCGACGCTTTAAAACTCTAGGGCTTTAAGGTTTTCTGGATGGACTAGAGGGAGCAGCAGAAGTCAACATCGGCGACATCGGGAACTTTGCAAAGAGCTGGAAGTGATTTATTAACACAAAAGAAGAATGAGAGAAAGGTTTAATAAACAAAGGCTGTACTATACTATACCCCAAAAATAATGTATACTCTATAAATAACAAGCTAAACTCTTTTAATTTGTATAATTAAATTACTTTAATTATTACGATATAAAGTTGTTTATTTTGTAACAATTTAAAATGTAATAAGCCCTAACTGCCTAATTAACTAAATTTCAATTAACATGTTTACTCATGGATTTCAAACAAATTAATTTGATCCCATAGCCAGTCAATTACAAATGAAAACTATTATTTGTAGCGACACAGGTAAGTAAACTAATTACTGCTTTGATTTAATTTCCTACTAGAACTTCACGGCACCCTCTAGCAAAGTTTCTTCAATATACAGGAACATTATTATACTGATCTATCTCGGCCTTTAAGTCCTTACGAGTCATTTTCATTCAGTGTAGATTTTGTAAAATGAAGCTCCATCCTGTAGGTAAAGCATTATTTTAAAATATATAGAGGTTGTCCCTTGAATAAATGTAATTATTGTAGACCTACACAAAAAATCATATTTTCACGATGAAAAAGGTGGGATGCAGTCAAGCATGGGGTTAATCCACTGAGAATGTCAGCTTTTGTGTACTTTATAAGTGGTTATACAGAGATTGGTTCGAACTGTATTCTGGAAGCTTCGGCAGCATATACTGTAGATAAAAATAAGTAAAAAAAGTTCATATAAATATATGCCAAAATGCTTAGTTTCGGAGATACAGGATGTAGAAGTTTCATTTTTATTTCGATTTTTTTTCAAATAATTTCTGAAGTAACGTCAATATCCGGATGAAAATTGGTGTCTGGAGTTTTTTAACATGAAATTTGATTTCGATGTCAATATGACTCCTTTTTGTAGGGGGCGCCGTTTACATGTGTTTTAACTGTTTTGAAGAGTAATAACTTTTCGTCCGTACCTGTATAAAGCTACTGAGTGAAAAAATATACATTTCCGTGATATTTTACGTAAAAAATATCTCTTGGTAAAAATTGCTACGAGGAACTATTCTTAAGATATTTAGAATGGAAATAGTCGATACAAGTTGTTAGTGATAAAAAAGAAATGCGTTGAGTAGATAATTTTTTATTTTTTTAAATTCATCATAAATTTTTCTGTGATCATCTGATGATAAAACAATTTTTGTTGAACTTTTGGCAAAAAGACATTTTAAGTTTATGATTTCAGTCTAATAACTATTTAGTCAACATGTTTCTATGTCAATGATGATAGCTATTTATAATTTCGATTGCAAATATCTCGAGAACCATTAATTGTAGCGATTTTTACCAAGAGACCTTTTCTAGGTAAAAAACGTCGTAAATGTGTATTTTTTTTTCCTCTGTAGTTTTATAAAGGTACGGACGAAAAGTTAATACTCTTCAAACCAGTGAAAAAATATGTAGGTGGCGCCCTCTATAAGTAGGAGTTATATTGACATCAAAATCAAGTTTCTCATGTCAAAAAACTCCCAGACACCAATTTTCATCCAAATATTGACCTTACTTCAGAAATTATTTAAAAAAATTGAAATAAAAATGAAACTTCTACATCTTTAATCTCCGAAACTCGAAGTTTCCGGAATACAGTTCAGACCACCCTGTATATTTTAAGGAAAGTAAGAGCAAAAAGGTAGCTGTATATCTAATCAAATATTCTTGAGAATAACGATGCTGCATATGGATGTATGTTAATTTTAAGTAATATCGTAACCGTAACGAGGGCTACTAATTACCGTTCGTGTTAAAGTACGCCGGGGGGTGTTTAAACCTAATCCCTTTCGTACGGAACGCGGCCAACTTGACCTTGTATTATTCGAAAATAGCTTTTGGCAGAGAGGTGTTATTGTTTTGAGACTCGTGAAACAATTGCCTTGTTTGGAGTTTGTTTGAAAGCAAAAAGCTATTTCAGTTGTCTAATTAAATACAATTATCTAGTTATATGTATATTCCTGAAACTAGGTATTTACTTAAATTACAATGTATATAATACTTACCTAAAAGTTTTGGCGTAAATAAGTATTCTTATACTGAGTGAGAAAATAGGGAACACCTACACAGGGTGATTCACGGCCATGGCACGTTATGGTGGGTTCATACAGCCAAATAAAATAAAATAAGAATAAAATAAAATAAGAAATAAGGAATTCTTATTTGTGTGCGTTCATACAGTCAAATAAAATAAAATAAGAAATATATATTTGCTCATGCGCAGTACGATGAGGCTGGATAAAAGTTAACTTTTACGATTGTTTTATAGTAATTTTACTATTTATAGTATATTTATTTATTCGTTGCCTACTATATTATACATTTTACTTATGTGAAATTATAAAATAAATTAAATCCAAACTGGAAATATATTTGTAGGTTAGAATTAAGCGTGCGCAAAGCCGTTTTCACATAAAATAAAACAAGAAGTTAAAAGATAAAGACTTCTTATTTTATTTGTTATTTTATTTGGCTGTATGAACGCATGTACGGTATCCCATATAACCAACTTTCTTATTTTATTTTATTTTATTCTTATTTTATTTTATTTGGCTGTATGAACCCACCATTAGACGTTTATGGAGAACCGGTGATGAAAATCCCCGGGTTTTGAAAATTTGCATCTTTGCATAAAGGCACCTGCTCCACCTGTCTAAATTATTTTCAATATTACAGTGTTGCCGCTTCATACTAAAAGTGGTAGCATCTATGTTATTTGAAATGGAACACCCGGTATATTATTATAATTTCAGAAACTATTTCCATATATCAACATTTTTTTATTATACTAACCTATATCAATCTCTAATAGTTTTCGCGATAAAAAATAACATATGTGTAAAATTGTCAAAAATATGATCTTGAATAAGCATTGGTTAAATCATAAATTCGGCATATCGAAAGCTAAAATTTGGTTTATAGGTTAAGGAAAGTCGACATATTTGATATTTCTAAATCCAGCTGATTAGATAAATAGATATCCCACAGGGAGGCCAGAAAAAATAATTATTTCCGTTTGTTATAAAATCGTTCACATTATTGTTATTTTAAATTCAAGCCTATGTTATTATTTAAAAAATCGAAACTCAAATAAAATTGCTTTTCAACGATATATCATGTTCCTATAGCTAAACCTTCTGGTTTCTTCAGTAAAGCCATTTAAGAGATAATATTTCTATTATAATTGTTCAGTTTAATGAGGGCCGTTTAGATTTTGAAAGATTATTATGATTTTTGAAGATTCTGACTTTGACAAGAGAAAATTATTCTGTTTTTGTTTGCCGTTGTTCTTAGCGACCGCTATAGCAGCGCCAGATCGCGTATAACGGTCGCGACCCAAAAAAGTTTCGCGACCCAAAATTTTTACGGGCTTTCCAATCTAAACTTGTTGCATTTATCTATGATATAGGGATCGATATTTCATGAATTTAGTGCGCCAACAAACTCAAAGGGGTGCTGCTTTTACTTTCATTTCATGACATATAAGTCAAAATTCTAAATGGACATATTTTGTGATTCGAGTCAAATTTTGGTTATTGACCATTCCACGGTAGTTTTTGGGTGTAGAATTATGTCCCAGTGCTTTAAAAATATCAATAACTCAATTAATAGGTGCAGTTTATTAAGAAAACAGAACGGAAAGCAAAATTATCTGGTTACATTCAATAAAATAAAATAATAGTACTCTTTTAAACTAGGTTGATTTATGTTAAAAATAAGAATAGAGTATATATGTATACAGAGTGAGTCTTAAATAAGTTCAAATATTTTTAGGGGTAGTATATTTCGACCCTAGAATCTCGTCT